CTGGGGATGAGGCTGAGGCTAGGAGGATTGGCGCTTGACGCCCCCAGGAGTTTGAAGGTGCTTGTGAGCGGAGGCTGACGCCACGGCACTCACTCTAGCCTGGGGCACACAAAGTGAGACTCTGTCTCAAAAATAAAAACAAAACAAAATAGAAAGAAATTAATTTGGCCAACAAAAATATATAGAAAAAATTAGCCAGGCGTGGTGGCGCATGCCCGTATCCCAGCACTCGGGAGGCTGAGGCAGGAGGATCGCTTGAGCCAGGAGTATTGAGGTTGCTGTGAGCGTAGGCTGACGCCACGGCACTCACTCTAGCCTGGGCAACAGGGTGAGAGTCTGTCTCACAAAAGAAGCAACAAACAAAAACCAAAATACAAAGAATTAATTGGTCACAAAAAATATATAGAAAAATTAGCTGGGCATGGTGGGCATGCCTGTAGTCCCAGCTACTCGGGGGCTGAGGCAAGGGATCGCTTTGAGCTCAGAGTTGGAGTTGTGCTGTGAGCGAGGCTGACGCCACGGCACTCACTCTAGCCTGGGCAACAGAAGTGAGACTCTGTTCAAAAAAAAAAAAAATATATATATATATATTTTTCTTTCCCCCAGGTGATTTTAACGTGCAGCCAGGGCTGAGAACCACTGCCCCAGGACAGATCGTGTCCTCCACGGGCCAAGGCTGGGGGTAGGGTGGGTTGGAGGTGTCAGTACAGGTCCCCGCGCTGGAATTCCTCAGTCTAGACCAGAGTTCGCAAATTGGGGGCCCACCCACAGGCTGGATCCGGCCAGCAGATGTGTTTTGTTTGGCCCGCGTGAGGTTTAAAAAAAAAACCACCGAATTACTTGCAACGTGATCATTTGAGACTATATGCACAAAAATCTGGATATCTGGCTTCTTCTGCAAAACAGGGCTATCTGGCCATTCTTGGTCTGCATTTTCTGTGGTGCACAATTGGCTGGAGAGGGGGAGCCGCTGGCCTTTGGGGACAGCCTGTGTTCTCCGGGTCACCATACTCCTCGCCACTCTCTGTTGTCTCATACCAGCTCTGCCCACTCCCTCGACGTCCGTGTCGTGTTGTCTAATCGAGGAGAAGAAAAGGGAGGAGCTGTCTTCCTCATGTAATACCTTGCAGCAAGAATACGAATATAAAGACGCGACATCCACAGGAAAGATGATTGTTTGTATAAAAGGAAGCTACTGCATTCATGGAGAATTAAGAAACAGAACAGCCGGGGCGGGTGGCTCACGGCTGTCATCCAGCTCGTTGTGGAGGCCGAGGCAGGAGGAGGTCGCTACAAGGTGCAGGATTCGATGACCAGCGTGAGAACAAGAGCGAACACCCCCATTCTCTATAAATAGAAGGAAATTAGGCAGAACGGACTAAAAAAAGAAAATTAGCCAGGGCAGGTGGATTACTTGACACTCCGCCGAGAGTTCCGGTGACTGGGGGAGGCCAAGGGCAGGAGGGAGTTGGCTCAAAGTCAGGAGTTTAGATCAGCCTGGGCAAGAGCGGGACCCCGCCTCTACTATAAAAAGAAGGAAATTAGCGCCTTAAATGGACTAAAAGAAGAAAAAAAGGAATAGGAGAACATGAGCCGGGTGCGCGGTGTGCAGGCCTGTGAGGTTGCCGCAGGTACCAGGAGGCTGGAGCAGGAGGATCATTGACGTACTTGGGGAGGCTGAGGCAGGAGATCGTTTGAGCGGGTTTGAGCGTTGGAGTTGCTGTGGTGACGGAGGCTGGGGAGCACCACGGCACTACGCCTGGGCAATAGAGTTCAAAAAAAAAAAAATGAACGCAATAATGTGTTTGTGTTATAGCAAGTCAATCTGTTCACTCTAAGGATGGATGAGAACAAAAAAGAGGAAAAAGAAGTATAAAATATTTAATTTGAAATTCAATAAAAAGAGGGAAGTAGGAATAAAATATTCGGAGCGGCGAATCGTTCAGCAGGCGCACGCCTCGGATCTGAGAGTACTTAACAGCATATCAGAGAGTGGGGGTGGGGCTGGTATCAGGCCCAACGTTTTGTGACGCCGGCGCCGTCAACTGCCAGCCCGGTTTCGCTGGCTGCCAATTTGCATGGCCGGAGCTTGTGCAGGACAAGAAATGCCGCACGGACACCCCAGGAGCATTCTGGTCCATCACGACGACAGTACTGTCTACCAGTTGCCTTGCTGCGCGGGGCCAGGGTACTTGCGGGGTACAGGTGGCTTCACACCTGTCTTCCTGCGGCAGTATTTCTCAACGTGTGGCTCACACGCCTCCAGGCGGATTCCTGTGCCCCACCTCGGGTTCACTGCATCGAATCTGGATCTCGAGGGACAGGGACAGGCATCTCATCTGCAGGCCCGGTGAGCGTTTTGCTCAAAAAAATAGTCACAGCAGCGGCTCATCGCGACACTTCCTATGTGCTTGACGTGTATTGTCTCATCACTTCTTCATGGAAATCCTCAACTTGGGTAGCAGTCGTAGGCCTAATTTACAGGTGGGGAAACGTGCTACAGAAGGCGTTAAGTCTTTGCTCGAAGTCACCACTAGACCAGGGGAGCTGGTCTGTCATCCATCCTAGTTGGCAAAGCCACTCTTCTGGGGCAAAAGGTGGATTCGCAAGCCCCCGTGCCAAGTTCAAGGAGGACGGGGTAGAACTTAGTCAGTTACAGTGATAAAACATAGGCCTCGTTTTCTGTTACTTGAAATTGTTTAGGGTTAGAGATCTAGACAAGAGCAAATGGTGGCATATGGTTAGATGACAAAAAAGACCCTGTGTCCTATAGAATCTGGCAGTCTCTGTGAGATACCTACTGGCTTTCACCCTTTTTTCCAGCCTCCTGCCGTCCTCCCTCCCGGGCCTCGTCTCGGGACTTAGCGCGTCTGCACACTCTTCCCTTAGAGCAGGGCCAGCACGCTTTCTCCGAAACGGGCTAGGTAGGAAACACTTTCAGCTTTGGAAGCCCTAAGTTCTGAGCTGCCACTGTCACCGTGTCCTGAAAGCAGCCGCAGGCAGCATGTGAGCAAATGGGCGTGGCTGGGTTGCAATAAAACTCTACGGACAGGGAAATGCGAATTTTATATCATCTCATGCATCATGAAATTTTTTCTACTGTAGATTCTTTTTGCAACCGTGTAAAAACGTGAAACTCATCCTTAGCTTTCAGGCTGCACAAAACCGACGGCAGGCGGGGCTTGGCAGCGGGCCGTCATTTACCAACGGCTGCCTTGGATGTCACCGCCGGCTCTTGCTTGTGGCTCCAGACTGGCTCAGCTCAGCTCTGGGCTTCTGCTGAGTCCTCTGGCTCAAGTCGCCCCTGGTCCCCCTGGTCGTCTCTCTCCCATCAGCTTACACAATGAGTAACACTTTGCCGTCTGAAGATTTTCATGTTCACAGTTATTTGAGTGCTGTGGGTCTTCCTCTGGTGGCATGTCATTTCACGAGAGCGGGGAGGTTGTGTGTTCGTTGCCATTTCTTCAGTGCCTAAATGGTGACCGGCACGTGATCGGGTAATTGGATAAATCACTGGGCAAAGCCCTCCTGTAGAACAACTTACCCAGCCCCTTTTAAGTTTTGAGTTATAGAAACAAAACAAAACCAGGCTGCGTACAGTGGCTCATGCCTATAATCCCAGCACTTTGGGAGGCCGAGGTGGGAGGATCACTTGAGGCCAGGAATTCGTCACACTTAGCTGAGTATGGTGGCACCTGCCTGTGATCCTGCCTACTCAGGCGGCTGAGACAAGAGCATCAACTGAGGCCGGGCGCGGTGGCTCATGCCTGTAATCCTAGCACTCTGGGAGGCTGAGGCGGGAGATTGCTCGAGGTCAGGAGTTCGAAACCAGCTGAGCAAGAGCAGACCTGTCTCTACTAAAAATAGAAAGAAATTAATTGACCGACTAAAAATATATATGGAAAAAATTAGCTGGGCATGGTGACACATGCCTGTAGTCCCAGCTACTCGGGAGGAGGAGGCAGGAGGATCGCTTGAGCCCAGGAGTTGGAGGTTGCTGTGAGCGAGGCTGACGCCAGGGCACTCACTCTAGCCTGGGAACAGAGTGAAACTCTGTCTGAAAACAACAACAAAAAAGAGGATCAACTGAGCCCAGGAGTTCAGGGCTGCACTGAGCTGTGATCACCCCACTGTGCTCCAGGCTGGGTGACAGAGTGAGACCCTATCTCTTAAAAAAACAAAAACAAAAACCAGCCTCAAACCTGATTTCTCTTTTCTAGACCAGAATAGTTCTTCGAGATCAAGAGCGACTAACGCTAGGATATGAATTTAGACACTACAGTATGATAACGCATATGATCTTGATATAGACATACTTGTTACTTAGAAAGTTTCCTCTTGGATGAAACTAAGGATTTCTACATGTCCATATGAAAAGCTGAAACAGTCCGGGCTCATAATTTTCTTTTCTGTAAATAAAGAAGACGTTAAAACATTTCTTAGGCCGGGCACGGTGGCTCACGCCTGTCATCCTAGCACTCTGGGAGGCCAAGGCAGGAGGATCGCTCAAGGTCAGGAGTTTGAGACCAGCCTGAGCAAGAGCGAGACCCTGTCTCTACTAAAAACAGAAGGAAATTAGCCAAACAACTAAAAAAAAAATAGAAAAAATTAGCCGGGCATGGTGGCAAGTGCCTATAGTCCCAGATACTTGGGAGGCTGAGGCAGGAGGATCGCTTGAGTCCAGGAGTTTGAGGTTGCTGTGAGCGAGGCTGACGCCACGGCACTCTAACCAGCGCAACAGAGTGAAACTCTATGTCAAAAAAAAAATGTATTTTTTATATTTCTGCAAAACCTTTCAATGCTCTCCTTATAAGAAAGAAAGGCAGTATGTTTTCATAATATGATGATGGTTAAAATTGGAAGGGATGCTCTTAAATTTTCAGAAGGAAAATTGTGTATTTAAACAAGGGGTTTTAATTTCTAAAACCTGATATTATGTAACCTCAGAGCCCAGAACTGATAGAAACAAATTTAATGGCGAGCACTTTATTCGGTTACTACAGATTTAGATTTTGATGACTCAGCAAAACAAACTATTAAGCAGCATCGAAAATCGATGGGGAATGGGTTTCTATGCTACGTGCCACTCATAAGCGGAGTTTGACAGAAAGCAGGTGCTTCATTGTAGAATTCCAATAAGAAGTCGGTCGAATACAGTTCATATTGATTACCCGTAACTCGCATCATAAATACTACTAGGACTCGTGTGCCCACGCCTGGCGCTTCTTAAAGCAACATAGTCGTTACTCTCAAAACTCTGCCAGTAGGCCTCAAAAATAAGAATTCCAGCTCCCCTTTTTTCCACTCGTATATAGAATTGAAAATTAAGTGTGTTGCTTGGCAAGAAGCATTCTATTAAACCGATTTTTCAATTAACATAACCAAATAATTACTCAGCAAGAGACACTGTATTAGGCATTCATTGGGAACTATTTTTTTTTATTTGAGATTTATACACCGCGGAGTCTCACTGTTTGTCCAGGGCTCTAGAGTGCCTGCTCACGGCAACTCCTAACTCCGTGGGGCTCAAGCATCTCCCTCGCCTCAGAGCCTCCCGAGGTAAGCTGGACTAC